AACCTGCACTTCATTTATGGCCTCCTCCACTGGTGTCCTCCTCAGCAGTGATGATGGCTCAGTACAGCTCTTCTCTCGGTGTCTCCCCCTGGCATCTCCAAACCTTTCCCATATGCTGCCCCTCACCCTTGGAAGCCCTTCCCTGTCGTGGTTCTTCCACTGGCTTTGTCCCCTCCGCAGGACACTCCCTTGCGTGAAGCCTATCATCATTAATCTACCAAAGCATGAAATTAAATCAAGATCAACTTTGATCATCCCATTAACTGGCCATAGATGTATAAAATTTTGCAGTAAGTTTTAAAATTATTACTAGTGGTGTTGTGGGATCCCAGAGGCAAAGACTTTGTGTTTTTTCCCCTGGGTGGATCACATAGAAGACAACAGGGTTTTGGTGTTGAAGAAATCTTGTCCATGACGATCAGCACGAAGTGGGATCAGCTTCTGGTACTGATTTTGACTGGTGTGATGCAGTATGACCTGCTCAGGGTCATCAATCTATGGTTGATCTTAAACGCCATGCAGTTTCCAGATCAGGATGCGTGCCAAAAATGTAGAGAAATGATCTGATGCCAGTTTGCTGGGTAAGAAAGGGAGAACTGCTGTTTCAAAGATGTTGACCTCAGTGAGGTACAGCACAAATGAGGCAAGCCTTGAGAAGAGTTTTTGGATCAGATTTAAGGTGGTACCCTTCAAAAGAGACCACAAAAATAGCTCAAGTTGAACTTTTAAATCTTATCTCCAAATGAAACGATTCATTTCTACTTTCAGAATGTAGAATCTGGTTCTGTTTCTTTTCCCTCTTCAAATCTCAGCCAGTTTTAAGCAAGTTCTTCCACTAACAGAAACAAAAATTTCAAATTCAGGGTTGGCTCTTACCCTGGGGACAGTGGGGTCCACCCCCACTGGGATGATCTTTCTCTGTGCACGTCACCCCCTCCCCGCCATAGATGATAATGGTGCATAAAGCAAATTTTTGTGTTGAAAAACACACACAAAAAGCTGCAAGGTCTTTTATCAAGTTTTTTTCCAGCTCTTACCTTGTTAGTGTCATTCTGATAATGAATAAATCATACTGTTCTTATTGTGCATGAAATTATTCTTCTAACCCTACTACAATTTTTTGTTTAGATTCCCTACCAGCTTTTCAGTGCTATAGCCACCAATTGCCAAAATGATTTTTAAAATGTGCACTTGAAAGATTTTGACCTTTTAAAAATCCTCATCACCATTAGCATAAAACATCAAAAACCTTCCTTTTTTTAAAGAAAATGATTTGTAAAATTGAATCAGGAACTACTTGCTGTTCTGCCATCCTCTTCCTCCTGCCACCCCTAACTTGCCCTCTCCCTCCCACAGTTTTTGGGTTGCACTCTCTGCTCTGGAAAATTGTGGGTCCTCTAACCTTCCTCTTGTGATAAGCAACCTCAAGTTTAAGCCACTGGAGATGGGATTCTATACCCTGAACTTCTCAGATGGGCTACCAGAGACACGAGGACTCAGAACTTCACCCTTTGAAATCACATTTGGAAAATCAGAGCTACTGCCAAACCTCTTCTCTGGGGACGCTGCAACCCAGCGGCTCGCAGCCAGCTCTGAAATCATGGTATTTTTGGAAAAGGCCAATGGAAACAGGCAGATCACATTTCCGAGGGGCTTTATCCGGTCGTCCAAGGCTAGCCCCGCACACGTGAGCAGTTACCTGTACAGTTCCACTGGCAGAAAGCTCCAGCAGAGACGTAACACCGGGATCAATAACTTAAGCGACTGCTTAGCAATATGTCGGTAGCGAGACCTTGCAACAAAAGTGATAAGTGACAAATTTGAGGAGTTTTACAGTACTAATGCTTGTTATTGCTTCTCACAAAATGTTACCAAGCTTACAATAATCTTTACACTTTCAGCAAAAATGTGAACAGTATATTTGAATATATTAAAAAGAATTAAAAAAACATTTCACAAAAAACATTTGTTGCCATATGAAAGTCTTTCAGCAATAAATGCCCACACCAGTATTTAAACATTGTTAAAAGTATAATGATTTGTACTAATAAATTATGCAACAAGAGAGGTAAACAAAATAAAATTACAGTATAGCTCTCCATGTTCCTCCACTGAGCGTCCGCAGCTCTCGGAAGCTCCATTTTAGATGACTAATTAAGAAACTGATATTTTCAGAGCAACAAAAATAAAAGCTTTTATTTGTTCATTTGAATATAAAACAGGCGTTATCACAGATGTACAAAGCGTACTGGTGGTTTAACATACAAGAAGGTTGCTGTCCTTTGCACATAAAAATTTTTGTTTGAAACTGTGATTGGCTGAGTTACATGAATTTCTCTAACCAGTCACCACACTCTATGAAATAACGCTGCTAACATTCAACTGATAAAAGGGACAGTCTTCCCTTGGGTAAAGTGTCAAGCAGGATTAAATATATATAATAAACAAGCACCATGAGGAATCTGCTCCTGTTTGATTAGTTTTGTGTTTAAATGTTCATTGTGTACCCTCTCTTTTTGTGCATGTGCATCAAGTTGATTACATGGTTTTGTCTGACTCCAAAAGCACAAGGTCACAAGACAAACATTTTATACATTCTCATGAATGGTTTATCTACAGTACAGTTTCTAATACAGAACAATCCTTCTTTATTGCTCAGTCTGATGGTGCTTAAATGTTTCCTTCCTTTTGCTTGCACAACAAAACCAGAAACTCAGTTTATCATTTCTCTTAACTCAGGATTTAACAACCACGGATGACAGGTTGCAGAAGAGAGCTGTTATTAACTGCGTTTCACAACTGCATTGCAGTTCTTTTATTCTCTACAAATGCAAAGTTGACTTCGTGAAGGTTAAAGTGATGCTTTGAACGACAGCGAGATTTGTTTTGCAGTACTGAGATCAGCGATAGCAGGACTTCACAAGTTTGTTCACACACTGCAATTATGTTTGTAATCAATCAACATCTTGTCTGAAACCTTACAACGACTTGCCATTAAGAACAGATTTTATTCTTTTTAGGGAGCAGAAAATGAATTTGACAAAATATAGGATTGGTCTGCAGAGCATGAATAGGGCTATTCACAGGACAGTGAAGGCGGAAAAGATGGTCTGAAAGAAAACGCGGCTGACATGGCAAGATGCTCTGTACTGTACATGCAGACTAAAACGTCCCTACCTTTTAAAAAGATTTTAAACACCCAGCATCGAGACTCCCTTATACGTGATATAAACATGATTACATTTGCCCTGCAACAATCTTAGTCATGCATATCCGGTAATGAGAGCCAGCACGTGAACGTCATTTGGGACAATAAGAAAAGCATTCTTGGACTGCAGCTGGTAAATCCCACTCTTGATCACAAACAGGTCAATTCAGTTACGACCACATGAAGGAAAGGGAAGGTTTTAAAAAAAGGGGCCCGGGGTGCAGGGAAGACAACAGAACTGGGGAATCAAACCTCTCTTTTATCCAAAGGTAGTAAAATGAAGGCAGCTGTGATGCATGTTTTCCTACTCTTCTCCCGCGCCGGCCTCAGATCGGAGACCGCGGGACTCCTCCGTTCTTTAAACAGGCAGATCGGTTCCTCTGATGGTTTAATGCGTTTAGGGACTAGTTAGCAGATGCACGATTTGTGCCAAATCGGTTGTAGTGACTGTACGCTCCTCTCTGTTAAGGAATAAATTAAAGACCATCGAAACAATCGTTTCCTGTAAATGTAAACTGGATGCGTTGGCCACCGAGCTACATCTCCTAGCTGAGAGGCAAATTGATAACTCTGTGCAAATAACCCCAAAACTTTTCCTTATAGCAATAAAAACACCAACTAAAACAATGAAAAAAAATTGTGCAACAAAGTTCTGCAGCTAGACAACAGTGCTATTCCTCAACCTGCCTTTTCTAAGTCTAACAAGTGTATGCACATGCCAGCACGAATATTTATTGTTGCCTCCATGGCAAAGAAAAGAAAATTATTGTAGTGCATTTTTAGTCTTAAATTCATTCACTGCCTTAAAGGCAGCAATAATTCCACTTGCTGGTATCTAGAGGATTCTTTTCGACAGGGACACTTAGCAATCCAGGATTGCTTTTTTTTTTCCAAAAATTTGTGAGTAACATTTGATTATCTACAGTGGGAGACACCATGCAAGTGACAAGTACTGCATTTTAAACTTTAAAATCTTTTGTCATTAGTGAATTTATATTTCATATATATATATTTGATGTGATACTATCCACTCAAGATAATACAACACTTTGTTTTTATATTAGCAAACATTTCAAGAGTTTAATATTCTTGAATGTTTTTTCTCTTTTATACTTCTAAAGAGATCAAAATAAATTAAACGTTTTGTACATAATTACAGAAGAAGTAGTTAACTTATTTTATCTTTTTAGTTTAGTACAAAGATATTTGCAAGTTCATTGCCGAAATACCTTATTTATAAATTTCTTCCATTCTAACGCTAACAGCAAAGGCTTTTCGGCCTTTGGGCTTTCAGCATCTCCGACAGAAAGCTGCAAGATTTCTAATTGAAAGGTGCTACTTTGGGTATTCTCCTCGTACCACTACGTAGTTTCCTAAGATGTGGGATCTAAAATGGCTTAAGTTAGTAATGGATCTGTATTCATCAGCTTTTTATGACATATTAAAACAAATGAAGAAAACAATTATTTGTATTAGTATGCAAATTGTTTTAAAAGAATCCATCTGGAGGGCAGAATAAAAAAAAATCTACTTCAGCTTACTTAATGTAAAATACAAAGCCACATTTACTCAAAAAGCAGTATTGTCCAATAAGCAAAAAAAAAAAAAGTTTAAAATGGGCTTTTCCAACACACTGAAGGGCCTTACCCCATAGTCCTTCTTTTCTAAAATTTAGTGGTAAAAGAAAACATTTCACATTTTATTTCCTGCCAATCGTGACTGCTTTGAAAAGTCCTAATAGAAACAGTTCCATTCTGATGAGTGTCAGCATCTTATCTGCACACTTTTTTAGTGGACACCAAAAAATTTTATACATCTATAGTAAAGTCCATGGAAGCTTTAAGGTACAAGACTACATGTTGTAGGCCACATAGATGGGATCTAGCTGGTCTGCCAAAAATCCATCTCGTAGGTGCATACGTTGTTTCTCTCCACGGGAGTTGATAGGAATTACACCAATGTCCACAACCACCACCACCCCTACAATCAGATAGTGTTCCTCCAAGACCACGTTAGTGACTAAAGGAACCAGGTCCAAAGCTTCTTGCTCCGATCCATCCAGCTCAACTACAACGACCAATAAATTTGTCCAGGTAAACACCGCACTGGAACGAAAGAAAAAATAGTATTAGTGGTGGGGGTTTTTTTACCCATTTCATTTTTTACCCTTTTCATTCTACCTTGGTTACCTTTCGTTTCAACTCCTAGGGCTCCTTCGATATGCTCACAAGTTACAACTGATAGGACAAGAGGAAATAGCATCAAATTGTGCCAGGGGAGGTTTAGGTTAATGATTAGGAAAAACTTGTACACTGAAAGGGTTATCAAAGACTGGAACAGGCTGCCCAGGGAAGTGGCTGAATAACCATCCTTGGATGTATTTAAAAGCCATCTAGATATAGTGCTCAGGGACATGGTTTAGAAGTGGGAGTGGTAAAGTTAGATAACGGTTGAACTTGATGATCTTAAAGGTCTTTTCCAGCTGTAATGATGCTATGATTCTATGCTCACCACAAAGCGTAAGTAGCAAGAGAGAACACGTCTGCAGGCAGGAGCAGCGGGACAGTCCCACTAGCTCTCACTTTGATATTGCTGCAATACTAAGCATTGGGCTAAACTTTATAGACGAACGCGAGTCTAATCCTTGCCTCTCATGTAAGCAGACAGTAAGACAACGTGCGGTTGCCTCTGAAGCCAGAGAACTGTCACAGCACTGCTGTGTTCCTGAAGGCATACATGAACAATGTGTGGGTGGAGGTGTCTTCTCTGGGGCTTTTTGAAGAGCAGCCCAGAAGAGCAAATGAGGTTAAAAGAGGAGGCACCAAAAGGAACAGCAGGAACATAGCTCGAGCTGAAAGATCTTTGGGATAAGCTCTGCCTAGCGAAGGGTTGCGGAGCCCTGGGAAGGTTTACATGGCATACTGCAGGCTGCACAGAGGTCCCCGAGTGGCTGGGGAGGGTCCCCTTCCCACTCGCATGGTGCTAGGCTAACGTGGCTACGTGCCTTCTGGACTGGGCTGGCTGCTGTCCAGGCAGGTCAGAGCTCAGCACAAAGGAGCTGCGATTCTTCTGGACCAATTGGTTTATACAGAAATAAGCAGTGTCTCCATCTGTTTTACTTCAGCTGTGTTTTATTACTGTTGGGTTTAAGGGGACAGGATTTTTTACATTCTTTATTAACCGGTGAGATGGTCAGGGGAACACCATTATCACCAGTATCTCTTCTCTACTAAAAGAATTTTGTAAGACCCCAAAATTTTGGTTAAGCCCTTGAGCCAAAGCAGGTAAATTTTTGATTCTGCTACTTGGCATCTTTTCTGGCTAAGGAAAATGCATTTATCCTTCCAAATATGGAGGCTGGGAGGGTATGAAAGTCTGGTGAATGCTCCTCTCCATCCTCCTCCCCATGTCTCAAATGTCTCCAAAGCCTCCGAAGTCTCATGGGAGGTCAGCAGGACTGAGGCTCCACAAAGATCAATCTCGTTCTTCCTTGCAGGTGTTTAAGACACAAATGATTGTTTTTTCTTCCTCTAACTTATTCCATAGCAGAAATAACAATATTCTACACATGTAACTCACACATCAAGCCTTGTACTTTACCCTCCTTTACCTTATAAGATCAGGGGATAATTTCCCAGAACTGTCTTGAGCATAACCATCTGAAAGTTAGAATATATTATATATCTAAGCCAACTTCAAAAAGAGCTACTTACCCCAAGGTTAACACTTGATCGAGACAGAAGTGCACTGTTTTAGTCTACTAAGACAATTCTGAAAATCCCTGTACTTTGGAAACATATTTTACTTTGCCCAGCAGTTAGCTATGAAAATGTGCTCTATGTTGGTGCTTAACAGAATGGATTTTAGGAGAAAAGCACTTACTATTAAAAAAAAATTCATTTTCAGATCCTGCCAAAGTACTATTTGATTAAATTCTTACGTGCTTATTGATCTGGAAAACTAATGGACAGCCATAGCAAGGGTGTGCAGGCTCCTTTTGACTTAGTACTGCTATGAGATGAATTTTAATTTGTAATTATGTTTTCACAGACATTCTAGTAAGTTTTGATTGATGCTGAATATTAACAACATGAAGTCTTAGTCTGCACAGGTGACCATCTCCAGAGAGGTCCTAGAATTTTTATGGATTGCTGTACAAACACCTACATTAGTATTATATATGTACTAACAAAAAAGCCTGGGGAGGTTTTATTAAAATATAAGTTAGCATTTGAAACCATGCCTTAAACTTACTGTTAACTTGCTATTTGGGAAAGCAATTAATGGCAAGATTCATGGCTTAGGACAAGTTAGTTTGTCTGAGTTCAGATGACTGATTCCCAAAACCTCCATGAAGTTTCTGTTAATTCCTAGAGCCACTGTCACTCCTAAGAGGGTTTCAATTTAGTTTAAAACTCATTTCCTATGTCATGATTCTAACTCACTGGTCATCACTGTAAGTAAAAGAAAATTTTGCCCTTTACATTCTCACCAGTTGAGATGAAGACATATTGGCCAGCATGTATCATTTATGAATACATTAACTTTCTAGTCCTCATGAATTATTTTTTTTTTTAAAAAAAAGAAACAAACTAAAAACTAGGGACCCAGGAAGGCTGCACTTTCTCAACAAATTATGGAGTCACACCCAACAGACGCAACACAGCCAACGCATTGAGCTGGGAATGGCCCCTCCTGCTGCTTCCAACCACCAAATGCTTCAGGAAAAGCAAGAAAGCTGTTGAAACACCTCCAGAGAAAGGGACCCATAATGATTTTCTTCTCCAAGTATCTTGTGTAGCTTTACCTATTTGTCATTATGCAGAGAGAGAAAACCACTTCTTAGCAAATTCCAGGAAGCTATGTTCTGTTCCTCTTTCAAGGGTTTGAAGTTTAAATGAGTCAACAATGTGTTTTAATTAAAACACATATACATACATTATTTCTCAAGATATTTTACAGTATTAAAAACACTTTCAAAAATGCCTGGTGCAGTTACGCATCACAATAAAAACAGACTGTGCCACTCTTTTGCTTGTTAGATATTGAGACACAGGAGGCCCAGAGTTAGAGGTTGTTGATTTTGTGCTAAAACGTCTTAAGAGATGTGAATAATATTAAATGACCTTTTAGATCTGATCCTCAATGACAGAAGTTGCAAAGCTGGTTCACGTTAGTCAAGAAGTCACCGCTTCCCTCAATAGTGTTAAATGTTACAAAATGAGCACATGTTTCTTGGAAGCTGAGGCTATTTTTACAATCTATCAACTGGACATACTCAGTACCTTTTGTTTGCAATAGGTATCGAGGCAGTTAAATCCTTAATGGGTCATTGTAACCGAAACAACAGTGGCCTCCAACAAGAACAGAGGCTCATGCCCCCATCCAAAGAAAGGCATATACAAAGTATACATAAAAGATTTAACTGGATATTATTTTGTCAAGGGGTGTTTCACAAAGACAAGAGAAGGACCTCTAGGAGAAGCTGAAAGAGAAGTTAAGCAAGAAAAGTCAAGGACAGTCAGGACCAGGGCTATGAATGAAAACTCCATGATGGTGGCTTGAGAGAGCTATTAGGCAGAGCACTAGTTGGAAACTGTGAGCAAACCAGATATTGTCACTCTGAACTACTGTGTGTCCATTTTCTGCAGGACCACATCAGAGAAACACCTAACTCCTCAGCAATCTCTCTTGTTTGAGGAAAAACAACCCTGAAGACATTGAATTTTGGCCTTTGGGCAAAGGGTAGTAATAGTACAGCGTGTTCTCTGAAATCTCACTCACGTGCCTTGTACATTATCACCCAACTACTGGGAAGAGTTAAGGGACTGAGAATCCCTTTCATGTACTTCTACCTTCTTGCAGAAATTCAGTGGCCTTTTTCTTCGGTCCTCCCAGCTTACCCCAACCCTTTTTTAGTTACCACCGCCCCACTCAGGATTTCCATGATAATGGAAATTCATGTGATCTTGAAAAAAGGAACATAATTTAAGCATTTTTGGCCACTGAAACCCATGAGGACCATTTCTACACTGTGATATGGCTACTTCATTCACTGCCATATCACAGTGCAGAAGGAGGACACACAAACCTCTGACAAACAGGTACTCCTGAACACACCGGTTTAGGAATCTGCGGTCATCTTATAATAGAGTTGTCCCTAAATAGCTTGATCTGAAAAATTTCCATCCACTGCTGATACTGATCTTACAGATTTTCCAGGAGAATTTCACAGCATCGTTAGAGTGTTCACACTGGGCTATATGAGCACACAAAATCCGCCACCCTGTGTAATGGCTAGCTGGCGCGCGACCACACCAGCTGTGATGATGCTCTAGGGAGGAGGCAATAAGGCAAAACCTCAGTTACAGTCAGCCAAGCAATTAACTGCCTTAATTTTAACAGATATTTAAGAAAAAAACAAGGTGTTTTGACTAAAGAAACCAATCCGGTCGCTGTGCTTCATTATTAAGTTTATTGCTCCAGGCCACACCTTTGCAGCCAGGATTGAAAAGAAAAATGGAGAGTCACGTCTTATACTGGCTAAATTGCCCTGGCTGTTGCGACAGGTTCGTTTTGGATAAAAGGAGAAGAGCTGAGCTGAGGTTATATCAAAACAAAACAACTACCTGACTCAAGTCTTCTGATGCAAGAATAATGAAAAGCAATTTGTTCTCATGTCGGCCTCAAGAAATGATTACCTGCTGTGTGCATTTGATGATGTGATACATTGATTAAGACAACATCGTTATTAACTCATTGATTTACTGCTTCAATTTCCATTGTGACCTTGATTTGATCACCGCTTGATTTATTAATAACCAATTCAAAAGTAACAGTGTGTTCACTAATAAAGATTATTAGTGTGTTCATTTATTTGAAATGTTTGCCTGCTTACTCCTTCTAAGAACAACACTCCTAAAGCTTGAACTCATATCAGTTTGCTTTTCCTGGTTAGAATATAAATCTCAAAACTCCAAGAAACAGCTACTGGCCTACATGAGAGTTCCTTGGCTTTCTCAAATTAAAAGTTTGATCCTTCAATTGTACAAAAAAAAAAAAAAAAAAGAAACATATTAAATGATCTTAGCAGAAAACAGTCCTTTCTGATTAAATCTGTTTGTGAAAAGTTTCATCCCAAGGACATATTTACGGCTGGGTTATAAATCTTGTGACCATCCTGACAGGCCATTTCCTGGATCAATTGCAATATCCAAGAAAAAACCTCAGACATTATAGATATTTCAGCTTTATATAAGGGCCCCGGTGTTATATAATCCTTACCATTCTGTGATGCTCTTATGTGCTCTAATTACAGAGGTTTCAATATCGATCGGATGGTATCTCATCCCTCGTAACTCCATGGCTTCATCTAATGCACCCACAACATAAAGTGCATCATGGCGTTCTGGTTGTAAGGAAAAAAATGTATTAATTATTCTGTTCTCCAGTACATTAAATTACAAAAATGTTCACATTAATAAATAAGTAAAATAAGTATAACATTTGTAAGTTATCCTCGAATTTCTGAAACCCCAAAGTGATTTCCGAACTAATGAGAGTTTTCCATTACTGAAGCGCAATGCAGAGCAGAAAGCAGAAGAAAGGAAGGCAGAAACGCTATTCCCATTTGAAGAAGAGAAAGGTGGAAGTCTTTATCCAAAGATGGTGAGATAAATTCCTGTTTTTCTCCCAGGTGGATGCAGAACAGACTCATTCTTTTTTAAGGGGCCCCAAATAGACAATAGGCTCCCTGTTTCTCTCTCTTTCTTTTGAAAGAGCAAAAGGATGGATTCGACCCTAACAGAATGGATGATGTTTTTCCAGTAGCTTTGAGATGTTCAGTGCTGATGTTTAAGGTGTATTACAAAGGTGTTTATCAATAGACTAGAAATACATACTATGTGCCAGATAGCAAATTGCTCATTCAGACAAATGGCAAGCTCTGGAGCGGAATGCTCTTATAGCATAAATTTTTACTAACTACAGAAATAAATGAGGCTGAAATGACACTTTTTAAAAGATATTTGGCTGATAATAAATGACTACATGTTATCCATAAAGAAATAATATTCACTAATAGACTTGAAAGCAGATAACTGGCTCTTTTTACATTAATTTAGATAGTTGCACGGTGGTCATGTAATGGCAATACAACCTCTACCAGCAATAAAGAGCAGAGAACTTTCTGCACTGGGAGCTAAAAGTGGAGGGACAATGGAGACTTAGCAACTCTGTCAGGAGAAGATTTAAGCCATTTGGATGCTTAAGTTGCAATATCCTCAGAGAATCCTGAATTTTCTCAAGGCTGGGCTCTCATGAAATGAAAAAAGCCTGCACAACTGCAAGCAAATCTCTTCAGGAAGATGCTAACATAAGGACATGGGCAGCAGTCGTAATCCACAGTGATTACGAAAATGCTTTCAGATTTGATGAATTCACTCTTTGGCTGAATAGCAGCTATTCTAATTGCACTGACACCAGGGCCCTGGGATTGCTCCTGGAGGTGCTCGCAGCATTGCTAGAAACCATACTTTGCCAACAGCCTCAACTGCCCCCTCAGCCTGCCGCCGCTCGTGGCACCGTGCTCTGCAAAAATCACAGGAAACTAACGTTTCCCCAAGCAGAGACTTTGTGTGCCTGGCAGCGCTGGTTTGCTTACATGTGTACGTGAGATAAGGGATGTCATGAAAACAAGTAACAAAATTCTGTACCTTGCCGACACAAACCCAAACACCCTGCAGCTTCTCCTGCAGGCTACTGCTTGTATCACATTTCAGTAACCTTCCCCACCGGTTTAAAAACAGGGAAAATTGAGAAATGGACAGCTTCTGTAAATAAGTTTATAACAGAGGAATTATCGAAGAAGACGGTCGTCACAGGAGGCACAGGGCTCAGACTCACCACAGGGCTTTTTCTATCTGCACAAATGCATTCCCGTGGATACGACTGTGAGAGCAAATGATGGCATTTTAAGCTACATTTCATATTTTTCAAGCTGAAGCACTTGGCACATTAACAGTGCCAAAAAGTCACTGGTGGAGGGGATTTACAGCATCTGCGGTACAGCAAAGGAAAAGCAGGGAAATCGAGCCCTCTGTTTTATTCTCTGATTATTTTAACTATGGCCTTGTGCAGGTCTACAGGTTTCATAGATTTAGCACATCAGGTACTGCAGGCCAAGAGACACAGCTTCAGCCTCCAGATAATCCAAATTATGTGCATAGACCTAGATGATGAGAAACCTCTTACCTCCATTTGCATCTGTGAGTTCTGTTCTTCTCAGGAACCCCAGATAGCCAGTTCGAGCCCAAATAGTCTGTGTGTCTCCAAAGCTGAGTCTTGAATTAAAATGATCTGATTGCAAAGACTCATCTCCGTAGATGGTAAAATACCCACTGGCATTGTGAGTGCTGTGAACCCATATCTAAGTTAAAAGCAATTATACTGGTATTAATTAAAGTAGCTTTCCAGAACGAAGCATTATTGAAAATTCTTGATGCAAATTTTTTAGTCATAGCTAGATAATACTATAATGCCTTTTAACACTATTTTTGAACCCACAACTGGCCCAGTTTTAGGCAGAGACCTCGATCTAACCCCGCCGAAGTCAGAGTGTGGATCTGAGCCGTGCCTGGGGGAGAGGGACGCTGGACTCACGGCTGCGGGGCCACCTGCCCTGCAGCCCTCTGGCCCCAGTTTAGCCAAAGACCTGCACAGTCTCCTTGAACGGCTCAGCTAGCTCTGAGGTCTGCTTGGTTATGGCAACTTTCAGAAGAGCCTATAGATCACAGTGGTGTTTCTACAGTCCTGCCCTCCTGGTTCAGCACATTTACTCCAGCAAGGCATCTCCATGAACACCAGACAGACAGACAGACAGATTATTTTAAAGGGTGACGCCAGGGACCTTCACCTATGGAGAAGGATTTCATGGCAATGAAATCTTACAGATGAATCTCACAAATTAGACTGTAGTTTTAATTATGACCAAGCAAATTCTTCATTTTGTTAATTAGATCTTTAATTGCTCATTGAAAATAACATTTTTTTTTCTCTCTAGAAATAGAAAAATAAATTGGAAAAACATATAGCCTAGCTCAACTCAGCTAATGAGTACTTCTGTGCATTGAAGCACAATGATTATAAAGAGAATAGCACTAGAAAACCATCTAGCTGAAATTAGACTGATCAATAAACTTATTTTTTCACGTATGTTTCCATCAGAATTAGTGAAGCACCAAGTAGAAAATACAATTAGAAAAGGCAGATGTTTTTTCATTTTTTAAACAAACTTGAGCTTTTATTAGCATTTATCAAGTATGTTACTAACAATTTTAATGATACAAATATCATGCTACACACTTTACATACTAGATCTGTAGAATTCGCCGTTCTCTTAACTGGGCATTTGATAAGACATATTATTTGAAAACATTGGCATACCTGATGATAGCTTCATCTCTGCAATTTCGTTCAGAGCATGCAAAGATTAAGCTTTCATGACTCACCTCACCAAGATGAGAATCTCCTAAGGGTCCCTTTGTTTCTGGATTAGCAATAATGATACGTACTCCTGGGAGGATCTATTGAAAGAAAACATGAGGCAGTAAGACAGCAGATACCAGCTTATGCAATCATATGCTGACTCTTTGTCCCCAAAAACTTTAATTAAAAACTAGAAGAAATCATTAAAAAGTTAAAGTAGACTTATAACATAAAAAATTGAAATAGCCCATAGGTGTAATAAATTCTGAGATAGTTGGGAAATGCTACAAAACCTCTTCTTTGTGAAAGTTGCTCCATCATTAAAAACTACTCAGAAATCAAATGTTCACCTACAATACAAAAATCCTACGAAATGGCCCAAGTCTCTCCGAGAGTATATACTAGAATAGAAAAAAACCCCAAACACTAGCCACATGAAACTCTGGTCTGAAACAAAAAGCAAGCCAGAGGCACCATGCAATCTGCCCAGAATGAGGCCCTGCCAATGACTTCATGTAATGGACTTTCAACCACCACAGAGGCGGGCAGATGTTAAACCCTAAAACAGAAAAGGAAGCATCCTCTGACCATGAGTGTTTGCAAAGGTATGGTTAGAAGGAAGCTCCAGATGAGCACCCACAGTGTCATGGGCAGTCAGTGAGCAGGGAGTGCTTCGGTGGCTCAGTGCACCAGTGGTAGCACCTCTCCTTTCTCCCAGAGGCAGAACACGCTTAGCAGTAGACCTCTGTCACCAGCATATGGCCAGACACCGCAGGCAGGGACAGAGCTGAGAGCAGCACCCCTATCTCTGTGTGCTGGTCCTCTGTGCTCACCCTGTCCCCATGGCGATGCCACGCACCAGGCACGGTCCCTCTGCAGGTGATCAGTAGCCTATGAGTACAGCACTGGTAATCTCAGACCAGTTCTCAGTGGAGGTGGGTCTACATCGATAAAACTGCCTTCGCTACTGGCACATCTGTTAGTTGTTTCAAGAGTGAGATGCAGAGGATGAAATACCTTCTTTTTGCATAAAAAAAAGGAAATGCTTTTTGCACAAAAGAGGGAAGTATGGCTTCTTGCCTGTATCAGGAATAGTGTGGTGAGCAGGACTAGGGCAGTGATCATCCCCCTGTGCTCAGCACTGGTGAGGCCCCACCTCGAGTACTGTGTTCAGTTTTGGACCCCTCACTACAAGAAGGACATTGAGGTGTTGGAGTGTGTCCAGAGAAGGGCTACAAAGCTGGTGAGGGGTCTGGAAGACAAGTCTTAGGAGGAACTGGGGTTGTTTAGCCTGGAGAAGAGGAGGCCAAGGGGAGCCCTTATAGCTCTCTACAGCTACCTGAAAGGAGGTTGCAGAGAGGTGGGGGCTGACCTCTTCTCTCTGGTGACAAGTGACAGGACAAGAGGAAATGGGTTCAAGTTATGTCAGATGAGGTTTAGATTAGATATTATGAAAATTTTTTTCCCTGAAAGGGTTATTAAACATTGGAATAGGCTGCCCAGGGAGGTGGTGGATTCACCATCCCTGAAGGTGTTTAAAAAAAGGATAGATGTGGTACTGGGACATAGTTTAGAAGTGGTTTTGTCAGGGCAGGTTAATGGTTGGACTTGATGATCTTAAAGGTCCCTTCCAACCTCAGCAATTCTATGATTCTATGATTCTGAGAGAGCAGTAATGCATCAGTTACCACCATCGTGCTGTAACCTCAACAGTAAAGAAAGGTCTTTAGTCTGCACATTCTAAAGCCTTCCTCCACACTATATTCACATAGAAATTAACAGAAATGGAAATTTACTGAAAATATTTACCATAAAAAGTACATTTAAATCTTCTTTCAGTACTTACTTTTCCTGACTCCATGAGAGGCAAACTATGTGGAGATCCTCTTTCAACTAAACGAACTCTGTAAAATACATATAAAAATAACATGCATAATACATGGTTGAGTTTATTTGCTTTTCATTAACATTTATTTCTAAAAGGAATGGTTAATGGTCACAGAGATTAATGTTATTTTTGGAACAGATGAAGTTTATATCCTGTAGAAGATAATTGGGCCCAACATGTAATCTTAGTCAAGACTTACGGCTGGGAAAATAATGAAAAAAAGATGTGTGCGAACGTTTTCTTAAATATTAAATTCTTCAAATGTAGTTGGTGCCTTTTATTTGTTTTTGATAGACTTTTGTAAATGGAATTCCATGCACAAATTTATTCACAACAAGAGGGATCTAAAATATTCATTTCCCACAAGAACATCATAAATGCCAGGGCACAGACACAAAAGCATGTGAGCTGAGTGAGCAACCACATTCCACGAGTAGCTAACAGTTAAAATCAAAGTCATATCGAAATAGCTCATAACATGGCCTCAGCTTGAAATCTGCATTTGCAATCTTTTAATTATTTTCAATGGACAGTGGTTGATAAACATTTTAATAACAAAAAAAATACCATTTAATGAAAAATGTTATGACTGCTGAGGTCAGACCCTTTCTCTGAGTGTGGCTTACTGGTCCTCTCTCTTCCTTTCTTAGGTAATTTATTTTCCCACTAAAGGAACAGAAGTGGCAGCTCTCTTTCACTGGTATGATGGCCTGGAAGGAAATTCATCGTTTAACCTTAGAAAAGTACTCAGCAGGTCAGAACGAAAGAGACTTTAAAGTCCTAAAATAGCTGATGATCTCAGCCAGTAGACGGTGAAGAAAATTTGGTAACATCTAGGCATCCCTGTATCCCAAGTGAGATAACTTAAAAGCTCTAACAGCCCACAAAAAAATTACATTTTCCACTCCTAAACTTTTTTCATAATTTGCTTAACCAATCTAAATCTGGCCTTCTGTCAAAAGGGCTGTTCTTACCCCTATCCTCCCCTTAGCTCTGTGATTAGAAAGAAAAAAAAAAACAAGATGCCCAAAACCCAATCCTGTAAAAGGTAAAGATGAAACATCAGAAGAGAGGAAGACATAGCTAGGAACAGACGAGTGGAGAACTGGATCCGGTTAAACTGATTCTAAAACTGCAGTCTGTTATGAGCAGTCATGATAGATCTTTTTCGGACTGTTTTGAGGTCTTTTTATAGACAGAGTACTGCAGTGCTCAGTTTGGGAAAGGAGGGATGAGACACAGAGAGACCTCAGCTAGAGATCCCTTTGGAGAAGAACAAAGCTTTGGCAACTTCAGCCCCTAAACATAAAGGAGACAGAAAAAATCTTTTTTTTTTTTCTTACTATTTCTTTGCTCAAAACATCTTCTATAAAAGCTGAGACTGGCGAGGTCAAGGCAGGAATAGTGCGTAGTGTTTTATCTGCAGTTCTGGGAAGTCTCTCAACCTTGATGGACGGGGCAGGGCTAAGCCCTGAGGCATTGCACATCAGTGCGAACGGTTCCTTGCACTAACAGCATGAGATACAACCCAAACACCCAGCAATTTCAGACTGATTTTCCAAGTAATTTTGAGAAGAAAAGGATGTAAAGCACCCTATAACGGGCACTGCCTGGAGCAGGCACAGCTAGGAAGCTGCAGCCTGACCTGCTCTCCTGCAAGATGCACAACAGGAACCACCTTTCAATGTTTGTTCAGCTGCCACAAAACTCCCAGACAGAGCCTTTTGCTCTAAGACACTTCTGTGCGTTACCTTTAATTTTGCGCTGTCCTTGTTTTACACTGTATTGCTCTCTTAAACCTCCATTGTGTTACAGGCATACATATATGCCTGCATTTACTACATCATTTTCTTTTGAGCTTCCCACCAGCTGAAGAGCAGTAGGGCCACCACTGGCTTCACAGCAAAAGCAGCGAAGCTACAACATCCATCTGTTCAACCCGAGACACAGATACAGGGCAGCAGAAACTCAAGCTACGGGAGCTTCGCTGTAAGGTGTACATGCAAGGCTAAATTTATGCTACTCTATAAAGTGTATGCCTACATAAGCCATGCTTGTGTTGCTGTTCAAATGGCAAGCTAAATCATAGGTATTTAGGAGTACGTAGCAAAGGCTTTAAAAATAACTCCACGCATATTGGAAAAAATCAAGTATTGCAAAAAACAGTTGTTAACAATGCATACATTTCTGCCTTTTCATATATACCTTTGTTCTGTAAAATCCGTATCAGTGCAGAAACAGAAAATGCCTATAAATGAGTTCTTCCAAACAACTGATACTCCAACCTTTAGGTATGCATTTGCAGACAGGTAGCTGTTCTTAGAAGAACTAGTCATCATCTCAACCACTTGGTATCTCCTTTAACAGAGTTAGCTAATTTATTATTGACCAAAAGTTGTCAAATAGATTTAGTCTTAAAAAAGAGACAACTGAAAAGACCTCAGTCATATGCAGTGGTAAGAAAGACGATGTAACAAAGGTCAGGAAATACTTTATTTGAATTTAAGATTAGTTTTAAAAGAATTTGATTTGGATAACAGTAGCAATAAACCTCCAGGGCAGGAAAAGAGTATGTCAGAGTTGTCCAGCTGCCCGGAGATTCTGTCGGCTTTTGCTCCTTTCCCATTATTAAGACATGCCTCAATGAAGTGTTGCTGAACTCCAGGCCTAGCAGAAATCACATATAATAAAGCTATACATTCAATAGTCAATGAAGTGACTACTGGAAATGAATCAACATTCATAAATCTGACCATCTCTTTCCTCTTTGCTTTCAGCATCTGTGCTTCCCACCTTGTTCTTATAATCACTAGCATATTCTTCCAGTTCCCTTCTCCACCTATTTCCTTTAACTTCGTCTGATTTTTTAGCACATGACAATCCAGAAGGCGCAATTTCTCAGTTTCCAATTCTGTTAAACCTCTCCCACTCTGTGCTTTCCGCCTCACATCCCTACCGAGCTATCACGGCAGCACACTAAACATAGAAATGGCTTTTCCTGGAGGTTTTCTGTGAGGGCCTTGTTAACGCTCAAAAACTTGGGCTCCCTTTTAAAAAGTTTCTGCTAAGCTCACAATCCATTTGGGAACATGCTGTTAAACCTCTAACAACTCTGAAATAATAAAAGATATTTTGCCACAAAGAGATTAAAAAAAAAAGAAGTAAAATATTAGATTCTGATGTTACTGACTCCTATGTGCATACTTAATTTTAAGTGCATAATAGTCTTATTAACTCTACTGGGACTAGTACTGTGAATAAATTATGGACATCAGGCAATAATTTTTTAAAATGAGTTTTACTGTGCCTCAGCATAAAATAATTCAATTGTACCCACTCTTCCCCAAGAGATTTCCCTTTTTCCACTGACAAACACAGACAGCAGACACGATTGCAAACTTCCTTCCCTCTCGAGTGAGCAGCATCGCTATCAAGGCTGGTGTGGCAGGAGAGGCAAAAAGGCAGAGCATGGGGCCCATAAGACCCTTGAAAAACAACACCTCTGGATTTCCCAGGTGATGCTGGCAAAAAAACCCACGGGTCCTTATAGGCTTCTTAGGACAATGTTAGTAAACCTTCTCCAAATTCACAATAATCATAAGGTGCTCCTGGACAGCAGAGGTCTAGAAAGGGCAAGTCCTGTTTCCCTGCAGTGCTCCCCCTTTTCTTTGCTGGCAGTGAAAACAATCTCTTACAAAGTGAGTACAGAGCCTTCCCGCTGCTTTCTGCTGCCTTCGAGCCTCGCTGGGAAGGGCAGAGGAGAACATGGCAGTAGAGACAGCCTGGGCAAAAAGCCTGAAAATCAAGTGGATGGGAGAAGAATGCTGCCCTTGGGCGTGAAAGCTACTTTTGCACCTTCTGGTGGTTTGCAGCCAAGCTGAGAGGGAAAACATAAATGAGTGGCCCCATGTAGGGCAGACACAGAGTTTCTCTCCCACCAAAATGTCTCACTGGAGGGGAGAGGCAGAAGATGTTTAAGAATCATTGCACTGTTACAAAGTTATAAGCAACGATGATATGCACCGAATCTGTAGTATTTACACAGTATAGTATAAAACAGTATAATTTTTAGAATTTTCTTCACTCGTTCCTAAGAATTAGTCTTTTTTCTTAAAAAAAAATCTCTAACTAGAGCTGTAGAGTTGAGAAAACTGCCTACATTTCAAAGTTTGGCTACTGGGATTTAATAGGGAATGCAGCTACACCACCAGTATGTGCTAAACTTCTTTTCTTGTTACAATTTAATACATTGGACAGATCTCACCTCCTTTATATCAAACACTTACTATAGAAAAGTAGGAGTGGAATCTGACTTCAGAATGAAAACTGGCAGGCTATAACTAACTGGCACTGTAATCACTGTGCAGCAAAGGGGATATTGAAATACAGTAACAATATCTTTCTGCCCAACTATCTTACATGAAGCTGCAAATTTTGTTTATACTGGTCCGTTTGGTGATGAAAACTCTCCGAAATATATTCCACAGCTTGCTAGTACTTCGCACTAATCAGAGAGTTTGTCAGCAGAGCTATTAACTATTGCTTTGGGAATCTGCAAGGGCTGGAGCATGCAGAGTGGTACTAACCAACGTTACGATGCCAAAACTGGGCAAACCTTCAAAGCCGGCTGCGCTGTTGCTCTGAGAAAGGCTTTGGATTCTGTGATTCTAATAGAGATGGAAAGAAGCTATTAGGTCATCCAAGTCTTGCTCCCTGCCAAAAAAAGACTGTTCCCTGCAGTGCACTTTCGAGTGCTTTGTCTACTTCTGTTATAGTATTTCAAATGATAGGGCTTCTTCTACTTCCCTTCAGAGTTTATTCCTCAGCTGAATGTATTTCATAGTCAGGAACCTTTTTACTGCGATGCTTGGCACGAACTGTTCTTAGTTTCCTCTTGTTATTTCTAACTAGCTCTCCACGTCCAATTCAAAGGAGATTTTCCCACTGTCCCTTTTCAAATATAACTCAGCTAAAGAGTTTGCCTTTTACCCTAACACTTAGCCAAACCCCACATCT